ATTGACTTAACTCAAATAAGGAACCCCCAAAAGTACTCTTGGCAACTACACAAGCCTTCTATTCAATCATCTTACACCATCAATCAACTCCGAAAGAACCTGAACTATGCTACCTACGATCCTAGACCCTAAACCCCTAAACCTCAAAATCCTAAACCCTAACACCTAATCCCCCGAACCCAATCGCATAAACCCTGAACCCAAACCCCGAAACCCGTAAATCCTAAACCCCAACCCCTAAACCCTCAACCCTAAACCCTACTCCAGACGCCAGGACCTGACTGCTCTGAGCTCCCGGCTAGTTTCCATTATTGCGATTATTACCTTGGCCGGTTTGACTTTGGGGTTTACCCTCAGGCTCCTAAGAGGGTCTTGGGCTTTCTGGGGGAGGGTTTCGGCTTTGGGGGCTAGGGTCCGGGATCTCACTACAAGGGTCCAGGAGCCTTAAGGTAGGGTTGAATGTAGGAGCCTTGATAGATAGAATAGGGTTTTGGGTGCTCCTGATTATGATTACGGTATCACATACTCCGAAACCGTTTTCAAATTATGAAGGCCCCTACATTAGGGCTTCAAGGATCATAGGGCTAAACCCTAAACCCCATAGACCCGAGACGCTAAAACGCCAAAGCCCTTGGGGGCTTAGGGTTCAGGGTTTACCTTAATTAACCTCGCATAACCTAGCTGTTTAAGGACGTATCTAAGGAAATAATACTGAAGAACCCTCAAAACGTAGGTTTCTTAGGGTCCAGGTAGGGGTTTAGGTAACGAGACAATTCATCAAGGCCCCTGAAGTAGGCGTTTAGGGCACAGGGTTTAGGGACCTGTGCGGAGCTTGCGTCCAAGGGTAAAAGGAGGGACCCTTAATAAGGACCCCTAGGTATATACCCTTAATATAGCTATTATATACCCATTATATAGCCCATTATTGGGTAGGGGTCCCCATTAAGGGTCCCTCCTTTTCCCTTTTGATTGCGGCGTTTAGGCTCGCATCCTAATCCCCGAAGCCCCAACTCCAAAGCCGGAACTGTTCCCGGAACTCCCAAACTGTAAACCTATTCAGGATAAACCCTTTTGAGGTTCGTATACTCGTAGGCTTTGTAGAGCTTCATAGTATTATAAGGTATGGGTCCCCTACTGTTGTAAACCTTGGAAAGTAAACCGTCAAAAGTTGACCTCCAAGCCTACGACATTGGCGTCTGGTAGTCTGTTGTTTGCTTTGAGCGCCGGAGAGGGGAGGCTCATAACTCAAGAAGTCTGCGGACACAAACCGAGGCTTTAGGTTTACCTGGGCTCACCAATGTACCCTCAAGAACAGGATAGGACCCGTACAAAATTGGCACATATGACTGTTTAAAGGTAGCTTGGAGACTCCCTGTATCCCCAAACCCTACAAAGTGGCAGATTATGACCCCTTAATTAGAGGGTATAACCCTTAAAACATGTTTTGCTGCATCCCCTGCTAAACTTTTAAAACCCTATAAAAACCCTTGAACCTCTCAAACCCTAAACCCCTATACCCTAAACCCCATACCTTTGCCTGTTTTAAGGTAGCTTGGATACTCTAGACCTAGGTAATACAGGGGCCTTAATAATTAGAATACGGTTTTGTGGCCCACTTTTTCGATAGCCATAACAAGGAACCCCCAAAATAGTATAGGTAATTAATTAAGCCCCTATCCTAAACCCTAAATTACTAAACCTTATAGATCCCTTGTTAAAGATCCCTTACCATAGGCCCTATAGTAGTTCCTTTTCGGGGTTCATATTTAGAATCCTTTAAAGTAATCCCAAAATGGAACTACTACGGTTAATGATATAAATCCTGCATTACCTTAATGACCCTAGACTATGGGAATTATGGTCTATTCCTTACTATGGGTAATGCAGGATCTATATCATCAACTGTATGGGGCCTATGGGTAAGGAGCCCTTGAAGCTTCCTATACTTGGAGGGGCAGGGGACTTAGTAAGTCGTTTACAAGTAGGGATATAATTGGGGTAACTCCATTTAGGGTACTTATAACTCTACTTATAACCTACTTACTAAGTCCGCTGCCCCTCCAAGTAGACCCTAAACCCTAAACCCCATACATCCCTTTAAGGAACCCTATGCTATGGGGTAAGGATCCCTTGAAGGCCCCTATGGTAGCGGGACTTAAGGTTTGGGCCGAGTAGAAGATCTGGAGCTGCTCGTGGAGTTGACGTCCAGGCATCGGTTTAGGAGCAGAGACTGCAGGGAGCGTAGTGAAGGGCTTTAAAGGGATCCTATAAGGGATCTGTTCGGGTTTAGTAGGGTTTAGGGTTTGGGGTTTAGGGTTCAGGCTGGCGGGTTTAGGATTAGGGTTTAGGGTTGAGGGTTTAGGGTTTACTGTTTGGGGCTTAGGATTTAGGAGCCCCGCACCCTGATCTCTAACAGCCCCGAACAAAGAACTGCCTCTCAAACCCACACTAAACCCCCTGAACTTTCTCGGAACCCGATGGCTGCCACCAAGGCACCATTATTATTATTGTTGATGTTATTTCGATTGTTGCAGTCGAAGAGGGAGTCGCAGGCGACGTGAAAGCACTTGGAGGACATGAGTGTCACCTCCCAGGCTCACGATCTCAGAGCCCAACTGTTGATGGACGAAATCCTGCATTACCCATTATCAGGAATATACCATAGTTCCCATAGTTTAGAGTCCTTAGGGTCATGCAGGATTTTGTCCATCAACAGTACTTGGAGGGCCGGGGGACTCAATGCTAACAAGTAGACTTATAAGTACCCTTGTAAGTCTAGAACATAACTAACTACTTACAAAGTCCTTCGACTCTGCAAGTACTAAACTTATGCGTTTGGGTTTTGTGTATCACGGATTTCGTTTCTGTAGTATCATTTGTCTGTCTACTAAGTGTTTGGGTTCAAAATGTATGGCCTTCACGGTGGTGTACAAAACGGTCTTCAACGAATTTAGCATTCAGGAGTGGTGTTGCGGGGATGGACTTATTACCCAACCTAGAAGGTCTTCCCCCATCCCATTTTTGAGGTGCCTAGTTGCATGATTAGGACCTGCTGCAATAGAGAACCTTGAGATCTCAGTACCCCTCAATTAAGGAGTATATCTTGCATCATAACATTAAGCCCCTATAGTTTGAGGTATATTCCTTCATTCAGGGGTATTGGGATCTCTGGGGACACCCTAAACTCTAAACCCTTCCCTTTTAAAGGAACCCTGAACCCTAAACTTTAAAGGAACCCTAAACCCTAAACCCTTATAGATCCCTTTTAGGATCCCTTAAAGGAACCCTAAACCCTAAATACCCTCACAAAGAGGTAGGGTAGGACCCTCGAGGAAGAGTTGAGGGCTTGGGACATGTCAGCTGCGGAGTTTGGAACATAGTATACGATGGTATAAAATCAGGTCCTACACCCCGTGCCCTAAACCCTTCATAGAACATACGTAAGATAACCCTGTACCCTGTACCCCAAAATCACCCAAAAAGCTTCCAGACCCCCCCGTCCCACCTGGGAAGAAGTCGCAAGCATGGTGCAGGCCATGGTGATCGTTTTCCTTTGACCTGGGGATTCAGAAACCTGCCGTTGTAGGGGGTTCTACCCTCCAACTAAGGGGTCATGACCTACTATTTTGTAGGGTTTGGGGTCACAAGTTCGACCTGGGCTTTAGATTCGCGTTGACGCAAAGATCGACAGGGACTTGCGGGGTTTGAGTAGACGAGGGCTATCGGGTTTAGGGTAACGCTGCAGGCTTGGAGTGCATCGCTGCACATGCCTTAGGACAGAATAACACGACTTGTAGAGGCACTGATGAGAATCTTCTACAACAGTCATGACATGCAGGATGCTGAAAGATTCCTTCCTGCAGGTACTGAGCTTGCCTGTAGCCCCGACCCCTGTAAAATAGGAGGACAAGGCCCCTTTAACTATAGGACATCGATCGCCCTCAGAACAGTGGCTGTCTGCAGAATTCTCTCCCTAAGCCCCAAGCATTTTCTTGAGTGTTTGCACTACTTGCATCGGCGGCGGAGCATCAGTTTGGGCTGGGGCGATATGCACATTTCCCAGGTTGAAGTTGCTTTTTTAAGAAGGTTAAGCGTTCAGCGTTTAGGGGTTCAGGGTCAGGGTTTCAGCCTTTATAGGGTTTAGGGTTCAGGGCTTGGGATTGAAAGGTTTTGGGGTTTAGGGCGTATAGGCTGTTAGGGCCCAGGGTTCAAGGGTTTAGGGTTTTGGGTTCAGGTTTCAAGATGACCGTAAAGGTTAAACCCTAAACGGTAGAATTTCAGGCCAGCAGCAAGGTTCTCGAACTTTGACGTGCCACAGCTGGCACCGACACCCAGAGGTGGCTGAGAGAAAGGCTGCGCAGGCCGACAGAAGCGCAGTTGAGTCACATAAGTTTAGTAGGGCTTAGGGTTTAGGGTTGAGAAAACTACTTCTTAAAAGTGACTATGGCTGTGTCCTGTACGATTACTGCCACTTACAGTTCTTTATTCCTACTGCTCTCCATCATATCAGTGTGCTTGCAATACTGCTCTGCATGTTCTCTCGTACCGTTACCGTACCTCATGCTCACAAGCCGTATGCAGTTTCCATTCTTGGCATCGTCACTGCTACAGTTGCGCTAGGCATTTATGGTAAGCGGCGTAGTGCGTAGAGCTTGAAGGTGATTTTGGGGGTTCAATTATGTAGACTTTGAGGGTTTCGGGTTCCAGGGCTTAGTTTTTGGTTTCGGTTTGGAGGTTTGCGCACTATGCCGTAAGACTGTGCCAGAACCTACACAACATGTAGGGAACGGGTACCCCGAAATCAGAGCAGCTGCTTCATCCTGATAGATAGAGGGACTGGTAGCCCGGTACCTCCTAGCCAAGGTCCACCGATCTGATATTCTTCTGCTCTACAATGCAAACAACCCAGAGCCCAAAAGCGTAGCCAGGCATCCCTAAACTTACTTTAACGCTTGGGGTGAGTGAACTTAACCAAAGCAAGGGGTCCACCACGTGGGAACCTAATGTAAGGAAGCGCTACCTTAAATGGGAACCTACGCTTACCAAGGGATCCTTTATCACGGGATACTGCATCCCCTAAACCCTAAACCCTGACTCTGAACCCTCAGCCGTCCATAAACCCAACTTTTGCTGATCTGCGCCAGCAGTGTCATGGCCGGAATCTCAACAGCCACCATAGCCAGGAGGGCCAACCTCCGACTTTCATTTGGGTAATGTAGGAGCCTTAACCATTGGAATTGGATTCTTTTCATGGGCTCCTGGCAGGGATCTATACGGGCTACTATGGAGGGGTTGTAATGATCTACTGCGGCATGGCCTTTCACAATTGGAACAGGGTGCCTTATGTCTTATGTCCCTTTAAGGACTCTTTTAAGGGGTCTATAGGGGTTACTATAAGGCTTCTATAACTGAGAATATGGGGGCCTTATGATCAAAACCACTTCCTGCAAGGACTCTGAGTGTTATGAAGGCTTTCTAGTTTGAAAGGAACCTGCTCCCTAAACCCTAAACCCCTAAACCCTAAAACCCCAAACCCCTAAACCCCTAACCCCTAAACCCTAAACCCCTAAACCTATAAACCCTAAGACCCTAAACCCCTAAACCCTATAAACCCTAAGACCCTAAACCCCTAAACCCTATAAACCCTAAAACCCTAAACCCTAAACCCCTAAACCCTATAAACCCTAAACCCCTAAACCCCTAACCCCTAAACCCTAAATCCTAAAACCCTAAAACCCCTAAACCGCCTAAACCCGTCTCATCCCTTAGGGAGTAAAGACCGTGGGACTCAAGGCTTCGACCGACCAAGTACGCAGAACAGGGACTTGGGGTTTTTGGGTTTGGGGGTTTAGGGTTTAAATTCTTCGGGTGTAGGACTTGGGGTTTAGAGGGGCTTTAGGGTTTGGAGGCTTCCGGTTTAGGGGTTTTAAGGTTTGGGGGTTTAGGGTTTAGAGGCTTCCGGTTTAGGGTTTGGGGGTTTAGGGTTTAGAGGCTTCGGGTTTCGGGGTTGAGGATTTAGGGTTGTGGGGTTTAGGGTTTTGGGGGTTTTTTTGATCTATGATGACAGGGGTTTAGGGCTTTGGGTTTAGGGTGTTGGGGTTTAGGTCTGAGGGCTGTCCAGTGATTTCTTCTGCGGGAGTCTTCTAACAAGGGCCGGGTCTCCTTCAATGCATGGCAAAGTACACCCTGAGATTCAAGATCTCAAGATATGCGTCTGACTGCATCCTTTTAGGCATGTTCCATGTGTTTACTCCGTGCAAGGATGCAATTGAATGCTAAGCTGCCGGGTTCTGGGGCATCTGATACGATAGTTTTATTACGACCTCTGAGGAACAGTGCAGGTAGTCATCAAGACCTCCATCATTCTACAGTAGATTCAGAGTTTCGTGCTGAGGGTCTAAGGGTTTCGGATTTTCGGGTTTAAGTTGCAGGGCTCAAGCCGGGCTAAGGATTGGGTTGAAGGTTTAGGCTCAATCCAACACTAACACTTAGAGAAAGAACCAGGAACCGTATATTTATGGCAATATTCCCAAAATATTGAACTCTCTGAGCCCTACACCCTAAGCTTAAACCCTAAATCCTAAACTCTAAACTGCCCGAAACCCAAAACCCTGAACCCTAAACCCTAAACCCCCAAACCCTAAACCCCAAACTGCGGATCCCCGCGTCGCAGAGATCGCATAGACCGCGGCGAAGCTCAGCAGGGCGGAGGTCGGCGTAAGAGCTTGCCTTAACACAGATCCCCTGATTCCAAAGGGTCCAAAGTACCTTTATAGTAGAATGTAGGGTTTCTATATTAGGAATTACGATTATGATTTGGGGAAGTATCCCCATAAGAGTACCTAGGACCCTTAGGGGATTCATAACCCCCCCCACTTCCTTATAAAGCCCTTAGTATTCGGAGTTGTCGCGAGGCAGAATTCCTCGGTTCTAAGGTTTAAGGGTTTAGGGTTGATGGTTAAGGTTTAGGGGTTTAGGGGTCTAGGGTTTATGGTTAAGGTTTAGGGGTTTAGGGGTCTAGGGTTTATGGTTGAGGTTGACCTTTGTGGAAAGGGGGTGGTTGGATTCTGCTTGCGGCTTAGCTAGGGGTTCAGGGTTACGGCTAAGAGTCGGTTTAGGTGGGCCACGTGATCTAATGACGACTAGGATGCCCAGTAACCTAAGAATAAAAAGGCCTCTCTTTTTGGTATTGGGTAGCTTTATGAGGAACCTAGGACTACAAAAAGGGAATAAGGGTACTACTGGGCATCCTAGACGATGGGTGCAGGCTTGCTTCAGTTTCAAAGCTCGGCTTGAGAGTTAAGGGCTTACGGACTAGCAGAATTGTTTTTTTGCTGCCGGTCCGGTTTAGGGTTTAGGGTTTAGGGTGTACTAGCTAGACTGGCAGCATCATGACAGCACTGTCGTAGCTGCGGTTGCTCGGGCTTTGTTCACGGCTCGCTGGCTTCACAAACCTCCTCCGCACATCCCGTTTATTGGGATGCGTAAACCCCGTACGGGCCCAACCCTAGACCCTGCTGCAGGGGCTTACATGGGTGGTTGTCAAAATTATGGTCCTTTTTTGGGTACCCCAAATAATAGGTGCCGTACTATAAGTAAAAACCCAAACAAAACCCTAATATTGACAACCACCCAAATATCTGTGAAGCATGCTCGAAATACGACGGACCGGCTGCGATACTATATTTCGACTCCTACCCACAGGTCACATACCCTAAGGGTCCAGGTATCTCCTTAGGAGGGTCCGGAATCTCCTAGGGAGAGCCCTTGGGAGGTTCCCTAAAGTGTTAGGACCCTTAGGGTAAGGACTCAAACTCCAAAACCCTGAACCCTGACCTTCACTGAAGAATTGAAATGCCGAACACCCGAACCAGGGAGCCCGACACCCTCTGTGGAATGGGTGCTCATGCATGTACGTGTAATCTTTAGCAGTGCGGCTTAGGCATCAGTATCCTTACCCGTAGCTTTCGTAGCCATCCCCTGAAGTGTCAATTAACGACAATGACGACGCTGATGTTGTTCAACCAGCCTTCATCACCAACGTCGCCAGCATCAAAAGGAAACTACGGATGATGGACAGGAAAGCACAAACCAAAGGCTTAACGATAATACAGGGGCTTTCGTAAAGGTTTTGGGGCCCCTTATACTAAACATATGATACGGAACACCCAAAACGACAAGCTTGGCCCAGTGACGGCTCTTGAAGATAGAAGCCCGCAATGAAGTGGAAGACGAAGAGGTTGGACAAGTTCATGCCGAGGCTGAGGCGTGCCCTGAGAGCAGGTCAAGCGTTTAGGGTCATGTCCGGGATGTGGGGGTTTCCAAAAATGGGGGACACTAATATAGTACCTAAATAGTAGGATCCATTTTGTAAGGACCCCAAAATAAGGTACCCCTAATTTGCGCAAACTCCCATGTACTTTGTTGTGTTGCATACCGGCTGCAATACCAATGATGCTGCTACTGATGTTGCTAGTGCGAGGAACGCCATGACTGCTTGTCGGAGGCAGCAACAAACGTAGCAATACTAGCACTTCTTCAGTAGCAACGGGAGTTGCCATCGTTATCGCAGTCAAAGCGGCAACAGCAGCGGGACTTCGACGGATCCTGGTAATTAGTGTTTTCTCCAGACTAGCTGTATTTGTAGTTAATCCATTAGCATTGGTTTTCGCACCAGTCCCGAAACCCCCAAACCGTAACTAATTACATTGGCAGCATCATGGGTCTATGATCTAAACGCTAAACCCTAAACCCCTAAACCCTAGCCACCGCACCCAAATCTTCCGAGGCGAATGGGTCCAAAGTACCTTACTGCAGTGTAGGGTTTCCATATTATGAATTACCATTATGATTCGGGGAAGTATCCATTCCCCTAAGAACCCTAGACCTCTTTAAAGCAACCGTAAACCTTGGGAAGTATCCCCCACGTAACAGTACCTAGGACCCTTTGGGAAAGCTGGGGCATCGACAAGGCTGAGATCCATGACCACCGGCACCCCGCAGCAGGCCGCTCACGAGCTGCAGATTCGCGTAACAGCAGCTGGAAGCCTATGACCTCATGACGGCAGCCCCGTATGCACTGGTAGATCTTCTTACCGCGGTGCATACATCTCTCGTATAGACACGAACACTACAAGAGATTCCTCTCCGCAGATGTTGGTCCACACCGTACAGAACTGGCAGGAACATGGCATCAACGCCTTGTTTAGTTGTTGTTTCTGTTTATTGCCTCTTTTCCTCTCGCAGGTATCTGCGGTCGGCGGCCAATGCACATGAGGCTGCAACCGGCGCTTAGCATAAATGTAAGGTCGTTCCCCCAAAAACACCAACGGCAGGTTAGGTAATGTTTTGAAAGACCTGGGCAAAGGCTCAGGGCGTCAAGTTCATGCCTTCCCCGAATGTTAACCGACCACCAAATCTGAGACCGCCGCCATGTTCTGAAACCCCGAGCCCAAAAAAACTCAGAACTAAACTCTACCCTAAACCCTAAGCCTTAAGCCCTAAGCCCTAAACCTTAAACCCTAAACCTTAAGCCCTAAACCTTAAACCCTAAACCCTCAGACCAAACTTGCTGCACATCGCCGACAGCTGAGGCTTCAACGAAGAGCAGCTCCGACACCTGAGCAGCGCAGAGATGGAGGAGTAGAGGTGCTGAAGTCCCGAAAGGTAGGGTTTAGGGTTTAGGGTTGAGGACGTGATAGAAATGGGAGTTTCCGAAAGTAGGGGACGCTAATATAGTACCCCCAATTTTCGGAAACTCCCAAATGACAACAAATGGATTTCACTGAGAGCTGGAGCTGGGGACATTTGAGGTTTTGGCCAATTAGGGTTTAGGGTTTAGAGTCATGTCTTTAACCTCGGCTTTAGGGTGCAAGCGGGCCTCGAGTTTAAGTTTGGGCCCTGGATGTGTGAAAGCATGGCAACACCTCTAACCTGAATCCGAACCTGCGTGCCCGTCACTACGATTCTTGTCAACACACCATTCATACCACTGTCGGTGTAATATACATGATCACTACCAAGAGAGCCCAATACGCGTTAGTTGGGGAATATACCTTAAATCATAATGTTAAGGCCCTCTATATATATATATATATATATATATTTTTTTCAAGGTCCTGAAAGGAGCATTGGGCTCTCTGGGTATAGTGATATCGTCATGATGACAGGTTCCGAAATTAAACTAGACTGAACTTAGAACCCTAGCAAAAAATGTATATTAGCTGTTTCTTAGGAATTATAATAACCAAAGATTAACAATTATTTCTAAGTACCCCTAAGTAAACCCCCAACCACGCGCCGGGCCACGTGGAAGGCCGCAGTCCCTTGGAAGGTCTTCAAGCCTTAGCTAACCAATGGTTCTTGGGTTCCCTTGGCTGGGGAAAAGGAGGGACCCTTCATGGGGACCCCTACCCCATAATGGGCTATATAATGGGTATACAATAGCTACTAACCTGTGGTTTTGGGGTTCCCTTGGCTCTTTAGCTCCTTATTTAGTAGGGATTATCATCATAACTGGCCCCTTAGCTCCTCCAACATCAACGGCTGGTTAGTTCCAAGCTCCACATAGTTGGTTGTCAAAATTATGGTCCCTTTTGGGGTCCCTATTATAATACGGCACCTATTACTTAGGGTACCCAGAAAGGGACCTTAATTTTGACAACTACCCACATGGAAGAATCGGGTTTTAACTTGAGGATTTAAGGGGTTTGGGTTTAGGTTAAATCCCTACCTTAAGCGTATATACTAAACCCTAAACCTCAATTCCTAAATCCTAAACCCAACACTCTAAACCCCTAATCTGAAACCCAAACTTCTAAACCCGAAGGTATAGCAACGGTTGATGATAGAAATCCTGCATTACCTCATGGACCCTAAACTATGGGAATTATGGTATACTCCTTATGATGAGTAATGCAGGATTTATAGCCCTAGACCCTAAAACCCCGATAGCTCCCTTAAGGGAGCCCCTTAAAGGTACCCATATAGATCCCTTTAAAGCCACCTAGATCATCAACCGAAGTGCCAGCCTCTAACCCCTATTATAGAACCCTAGACTACCCCTTAAAGGAACCCTAAAGCCCTTACTTCAGAAGTCCTAGGGGCCTTCCAGTCCAAGAAGCTCTGCAGTCTGCGAGAAAGGCCCAGGAAGGGCTCCCTCTGCCAATGGGCCGTGCCGTAGCTCAGGGCATCCTACGGGGTATAGGGTTTAGGGTCTACTTGGAGGTTCATGGGTAGTTTTTTGGGATCTATAAGGGTACCTTTAAGGGGCTCCTTTAAGGGATCTACAGGGCTTTAGGGTTAAGGGTTTAGGGTTGATGACATAAACCCTGGGGTTCCCTTATGGGGGTCTATAAGGGTTTTGAAGTGGCTCCTGTAAGGGATCTATAGGGTTTAGGGTTTAAAGGGTTGATGATATTTTAGGGTTTAGGGTTGATGATATAAATCCTGCCCTACCTTCATGACCCTAGACTATGGGAATTTCTGGTATATCCCACATTGTGGGTAATGCAGGATTTATATCATCAGCCGTACCAGCCAAGTCAAGGTGTTTACCAGGGTTTAGGGGTTTAGGTTTCAGGGTTTAGCGGGTTGGGGTTTGGGGTGCCTAAAAGTATCAGGTTTTAAGGTTGAGGGGTTTCAGGGTGTAGCATTTTAGGGTTTGGGGTTTTTCGAGTAAGTCACTAAGTGTGTCAGGGATGACAGGAATTTGCTGCTTTAGGGGTTTAGGGCTACAGCACTCCCTGTGTCAGGAACTGTGCTGCTTTGCGCATCTGCAGGTGTTTCAGGAGATTCAACAAGCTCAGGAGGGTTTTCGGGTGGAGGGGTTTCTTTTTTCTTCGGGGTTTTTGGTTCTATGGTGTTTATGAGGAGTTTTGGCTCTGAGGTCTCTCCTGCACGCAGGAGCCGGCAACGAGCAGTGCGCCCAGGAAGCGAAGAAAGCCCGCACGAACTGGACCTGCAAGGGTTCCATCCTTAAGGGGGCCTGGGTTCCGGGTTGAGGGCTTAGGATTTAGGATTTAGGGTTTAGGGCTTGGGGCTTAGAAGCCGCAAGACAAGGCTCTGGGCTTACAAGGTGTAAGGACGGTTGTAGGGCTTTAGGTCCAAGGTGTACCTACCCTAACTGACCCTAAGCCCTAAACCCTAAACCCTGAACCCTAAGCCCAACACCCTAAAACCTGAGATCTAAACCCTGAACCTTATACCCAAACCCTAAACCCCGAACCCTAAACCCTGAACCCTAAACCCTAAGCCCTAAAACCCTGAACCCTAGAGAGTTCGGGGCTCCAGAGATGGAAGCCCCGATCCCAAGAACCCACAGAAGGCTCCCCACCCTCAAGGCCGTAGGGTTCTTCTAAGGGTTGCTTTAAGGGTCGCTTACGGGATCTGAAGGGTTTAGGGACCTATCAGGGACACTATAAGGGTACTATAATGAAGGGCCTTTCATAATTAGAATATGGTTTTGGGGCTCACTATACTATAAATATAATAAGGACCCCACAAATAGTATAGGTAATTACTAAGGCCCCTATAGTATGTAGGGATTTGGTGTGCGCTTTGCTTTTGATTTTTAGGTTTTGTATTGAACCTTAACCTCTGTCCACCCTGTCCGCCACTCCACCCAAGAAAACCCTAAACACCCTAAACCCCAAACCCTAAACCTAAACACCCCAAACCCTCAACCTCAAACCCGAACCTGTGTCCACTCCGTCCGCCACTCCCAAGAAGATGCGGAGTGCAGACGCCAACAGCGCCACAGGCAGGAGCATGGCAAAACGATGCCGGTAGGCCAGGACCTGAGGTATTAGGATTTTTCCGGGTTTGGGGAGTAAGTCTAGGGTTAAGGGCTTATGGACTTAGGAGTTCAGGGTTTAGGAAGTGTGTGTTTAGGGCTTCGAAATGAGTTTAGAACCCAAAGCTTGGAGTTTCCAGGTGCTCGACGGCATGACGTGGTGGGGCTTAGGAGTAGCAGCTGCAGGAGAAGGAGTGGGACTAGGAGTGGGTTGTAGTAGGAGGAGGAGGAGGAGGAGGAGGAGGGGTTGGAGAAATAGGAGGGGACGGAGTAAGAGTAGCCAGCAGCAGCAGCAGCAGCAGCAGCAGCAGCAGCCGCAGCAGCGGCGAAAGCAGTTGTAGTATGCTGGTCATTTCATGACAAAGGAGTGAGTGGCTCTTGTGGAGGTGCTACTGTGTTTCGGAGCTACGCTGAGCACTTTACATTGCGGCATGTTAAGAGTGGAAATCTCAGAAGGGATTCAGCGTTCTGGGAGACCAAAGACTTCGCGATTTATTCGCAGATACTTCCAGGGATAATAGGGGTAAGGCTCATTTAACGGTTTAAGGATGTGCTAGGACCTGCTAGGACACAGAACACGCACACAGAGCAGCAAGAAGTCTTGTTGTTTGCTTGAAACTAACTGACACAAGACCCGGGATACCGCGAACACTCTCGGGAGTCCTTCTTCTATGGCTGTGAGCCACCGGCGGCTCTGCAATACCCCTAAACAGTAATCACTCAACCGCCCAAAGCCCCGTTCGCCCATCTTGAAGCCCTAATAAACCCTTAAAGCGCTGTCGTAGGCTGACAAACCCAATAAACCCTGATAGATCCTATAAACCCCTACAAACCCCTACTGTAAGCCCTACCTTGACCGCGAATAACCTACCGTTTCAGGGACCTACATAAGGAGCTCATAGTAAGGAAACCTAAAGAGGTAGGTATTCAGGGTTCACGAAAAAACCCTGAAGCCTACGCTTCAAGCCACCGATGCCTGAGGTTCCGACCCAGCGCTCTTCCCCAGCCTTCGCACGGTTGATTGCTCAAAGGTTGAAACCATGGGCCCCTAGCATGGGCCCTTAGCCTTGGGATCCTTATATGCCTACTATATACCCTGCATAGACTCTTAAAGGTCCCTGGAAGCTCCTCAGAAAGGCCTAGGGGTCCGTATTAGGGGCCCATACTTCCAACCTTGGAATTGCTGAGCTTGGAGCTTTCCGGCTCTAGGGATTTAGGGTTTGGGGATGACCCTAACCCTTTAGGGTTTGGGTTTTGGGTTTTAGGGATTAAACGGTTTAGGGTTTAGGGATTTAGGGTTTGGGGATTGCCTTCACCCCCCAAAGTACCTACCTTTTCGCTTGTTCGTTGATACGATCTGCATATATAAACCCTTAACGAGGTATGTAGGATATTCGGGGTTAAGGTTGGGATGGGGGGCTTGTGGTTTAAGGCTAGGGTTTAAGGTTTAGGGTAGGGTTTGGGGTTCAGTGTCTCACGTGTTAGGGTTTTAGGGCCATGCTGAGGCTACGAGCCCAGGGCCTAAGGCTGTTGCACCCACAGAACACACCCCGCAGGACTTTGGAGGTATTTTGAGCCTCAGGGATCTGTTAAGCTCGTGCTTGAAGGCTGAGTTGTGAATCCCAATCTCTCAGCCCTAAGAACGGTATAGAGATGATAAGGATTCTAGGGTTTAGGGCCTGAAACCCTAACATGTACACTGAAGCCTGGACAGTGGGACCTCAAACCGCTCAAACCCCTGAACTCTGAACCTCACAGCACCACAGCCCCGCTTCGACTGTCAGGGGATTTCGATTCGGTTTGTAAGTGTATCTTTTCGGACAAAGTACCCAAAGAGGATGAGGATAACACCACATAAAGGGGCCTTAAGAAACAGAATAGGGTTTTGGGGTATGTTCTACTATGAATACAACGAGCAACCCCTCAAATGGCATAGGTTATTAATAAGGCTCCTATGTCACCCGGAAAAAGCATCCTAGAGCAATCGAGGCTCGCCCAAGATCAGCTGGCTGCGCCAAAGAAGGGACGCAGGGAGAAGGAGCCAGCACAGTCCATCACTTGCCTGTCGGAACGTACACGTGGGAGCGTAGGACGCAGGGTCTTCCAGAAATGTCCTCAGCCCTGAACAGCTCAGGAGTGGTCGGAACGGCTCGCCACAAACAAACGAACAAATAAACAAACAAACAACGCACAAACCAAAAACATAACTCCACAGCTGACACCAAAAGCAACGCAGGTCGGAACATCCGATTCTTGGGGGTCGAATTCTCCTTCCCAGAGAGCCCAATACAAAGCCCTGTTTCGTTCCAGCTACCCTACTACTTTGCGGATGTAGTGTTACAAACGGGAAAACATATTTTCGAATCTGGCCATTAGAGCAGCAAGAACAGCAACCAAATAATGAATAAACAAACAAACCAACAAAAAAGCAACAGGAAATGGCAAGAATCACAAAGACCAGCAACAGCCATCCGTCAACGAGGAAATTTTTAGTCTCGGCCGGGGCTTGCTTGGTCGTTGAAAAGGCGGCTTGCGATGCTGCGAAACGCAAGAACAAGTCATCATACTACAAATGAAGCGGCCTCGGTGCAAGCGCCATAAACTAATACAGCGGCTGCTGGTGTGAACCAGCAGGCTGGGAATAAGATACAAGTGGAGTGATCAATTCCCCTGCACCAGAACTCCCAGACATGGCTCACACAGAGGCGGAGATTTTACACGCAAGCAAAAGACTGAAGTTTGTGCTACGTTGGGCGTGGCACCTACAACTATGGTACATGTGTTTTGTTTAAAAGCGTGCTCAAGGCTCAACCTGTGCATAGCCTAAAGAGCGACGGAAAAATGAACATGTACAACTGGCATGCGGCATGAGCTGCAAAGGTGGCATGCACTTCAGCACTCCTCCTTCGCGGCCCCGCCAGGGAGCTGCGACCTACTTGCTACTGCAGGTCCAACCCGTCAGGGTGACGACACACCTACCCTGAACTACCTGGCAAAAGCTGGGCCAACTGCCCTCACTATGCGAGGGCTCTCAAGGCACCTCGTGTGGGAAAAAGACACAGCTACGGATGAGCTCACTGAGAGATCCAACCCGCTAGGGTGGAGTAGTTCCTACCCTGTGCTGTGCTGGGTGTGGTCTGCAGCGCTCCCGTGGCACTGCTGGCACACTTCGAACTCAACAAACCTGCGCGAGTGGGCGAGCGTGGAACAGGTCTTAGTGCGGTGGAGCTTGGTCCCTTCGGGTGCTGCAAAGTAATGCGTTGGTGCTCCACCTGCCTGCTCACGCGTGCGAGTTGTTTGTGGGGGGCGGCGTCTGGGCGCTGCAGCAACAGACTGCGAGCTTGCTGCCTCCTCACGTGCAGAGATCTCGGCCTGGATGGCCTGCGCAGTTTGATCTCGAAGGCGCTGTAACTTGCGCGCCTTGCGGGGGCTCAGAGACAACACGGGTGTCCCTGCCTCTCGGCGGGAGATGACGCCTTGAAGGCACCACTTGAAGAACTCCCACACTGCAATGAAGCAGATACCAATGCAGATGATGGATACTGCCAACATCAAATCTGCATCAAGCGACACGGGGAGAGACAAGTCTTCTTCCTCGTCCGTTGTCTGGCTGGCAGCACCTACGACCTGAAAGAAGGCGAGCAGGACAGCGAAGGCACTCAGCTGCAGGTCTTGCTGCGCCACGGTCCCAGTGCCCACAGCTTGAGTTTCACTGTAGGCCTGAGCTTCCGCCCGGCGAGGTACGCCATGCTCAAGCAAACCCCAGATGGCTGCGAGCTCAAGGATCCTCGCAGATGGCAGTGCTTTCGTCAGAAGATCTGCGGCCTGCTCAACTCCTGGGCAGTAGACAGGGATGATCTCACCAGACTCATACTGCTCTCGAAGGTAGTTGGCGCGCACCCTTAGGTGGCGGGTTCGCCAAGACCCTTGGCCGATAGCGATGGCCAGTGCAGACTGTGAGTCAACCCTCAAAGTCTTGTCGAAGCTAGAAACCCCGAACTCACTCAGCATGGCCTCTGCTGACTGAAGGGCAACTACAGCGTCAAGTCCAGCAACAAGCTCGGCTTCTGCGGTGCTGAGGGTGACAAAAGACTGTCGTGCTGAACGCCAGCACACCGGCGACCCGTGAAGGAAAACCACCCACCCCGTGTGAGAACGATTCCCTTCCGGCGCATAGCTGGCATCACTATACGCGATCAATCCTGTGTCATCCGCATCAGCGGTGAGAGCCAGCGCCTTGGTACGCTGCACATACGCAAGGGCCTTCTCTGCAATGCGGATGGCTCGTTGCGGCGCCTTCGTGCTGAGAGAGGCAAGCACACAAGCAGTGAAAGCTAAGTCAGGCCGAGTGCGTTGGCTTAGCCACAGGATTTCTCCAGTCAGCCTCTGTGCTGTTCGAACGGTCTCCTCGGTTGGGGACTCGTCCGTCAGGAGAGTGTCAAACGAAACAAGGTCACGCGGACAGGGGACCTTACCTAGTGCAGTGGGCTTCACGTTGTTGAGACGCAGCAGCTCTTCGGCGTAAGCCTGCTGGGACAACACAAACCCGGAACCTTGCACTAGGATTTCAACCCCTAAAAACCTCAGCGGGTGCTCTGCGGTGGCAAGTGCGAGAGGCGTCGTTTTCCAGATGCCCTGGATGGCCGTAGCCAAGGCTTCGATCACCTCTTTACTGCCTGCAAGCAAAAAGTCGTCAACGTAAGTGAGCAACCCTCCTACGACTACCCCGTCAGAGGTGCGAACAACACGCCACCAGTTTGGGTCCAACCTTCCTTGCTGGAGCTGCAGTTCAACTCCGTCAACAACACACCTCAGTGCCCAAGTTGGCAGTCTCTGAAGTCCGACCAAAGCTTAGGCGACTCCCTCAACCCGTACACAGCGTGCGTGAGGATCCAAAGCTCCCCTTCCTCTGCCAAACCTAGTCTCACTAACAACCTAGGCGGCGTGAGAGCAAACACTGGAAAACCTCTGCCTTGCGGGATTGGGGTCAACAGAAAAGCTGAGGTGACATCTAGAGACCCGATGCACCAATTCCTCTTGGAGCTGATGATTACAAAACAACGGAGTGTCTCTGCAGCAGCACCTGAAGCGTAGACTTCAGACCCTGTGCCGGGGGCGTGGTTGCCACAAGCGACCAAGCGAGCCTTGCGTTTGTGGTAAGCTTGACCCTTCCGGGTAGCGAGGGCAGCGTCACCCTCAGAAGGGTCTGGTGGCTTGACTGTGAACACAAACTTAGACGGAACCACCTTCACTTCCTTGCGCTTTAGCCAACCTCCGGAACGGACCTCTGCAGGGGGCAGTCGCCGCACAGCCTTCTCAATGACACCGATCTCCTTGTGAATGGACGGCATCCACTTCTCGATGCATTGCTCTGCATCCCGAGGGTCTACAGTGTGGACTACCTGCAGTGGTTCTTGCAACCCGTCAAGCAACAGCTCTACGTTGGTAGTGTAAACCGGCTCAGACCTGCAAAGGGCACACGCTTCACTCGCGTCCGAGTCGTCAGACCGGAGAACACACAGCTGCTCACCGGTCTGCGGGTCTGGAACCCACAACTCCCACAGCACTGGTTGCTCCGGCAAGGAGTCTTCGCTTAAGCTCTCCTGCTCCTCCTCAACCTGTGTCTCGGTGTCTGGTTGGCAAGCCAGCAGGGCGTGCTCAGACTGGGTTCGCCTTTGGTCCGGCGAGTGTTTCAGGTTCCACGACACCTCCAGCTCTACAGTACCTGCTTCTACGGCTTGGGTTTCTTTCCAACCTCCGCCTTTAAGCGCAGTCCCGGGCGCTAACTCCGAAGTCTTCCCGTCAGGGTGACGTGCCTTTGTCTCCTGAAGGGGCTCTTCTTCGAAGCAGTCAAACGCGTCTAGACGTCTCACGTCTTGCTGCTCAGTCAGCGGTAAACGTACCGACGCTGGGAGTGGAAAACCTAAAGCTTCAAGGCTTTGAAACTCGTGCTCAAGCTCTTTGCCTAACGTGTTGACAGTGTAGCCGACAAGCACTGCTCTCTCACCCTTCCAGGGAGTGGTGGCATGGCGGCGAGTAGGGTCTAGGAAGAAGGGTTTACCGCGCTCTAACTTGTGAGTTGTCCCTAACCAGCGCCTGCCTTTGCCGTCTACCCGCTCCTCTACAGGGCCACTGACTAGGTCACCAGGCTTGAGTTCTATCCACAAATCCCCTCCGTTAGGCGGGAGCTTCAAAGGGAGGACTACATTTGTGGATCCCTGCAGGTTGTGGTGGTCGGCGTGCACGGGTTGAACAGTGGAGTTAGACAACCAAAGCGAGGTGTACTCAGCTGTGGGTGCAACTGCGGAAAGCACCATATTCATAAGCTCTGTCAGCCAAGGCTTATCTGTGGTACCCCCTAAAACTCCTACGACACCTCCGTGACGGTACAACCCAGCTTTGTGTTGCAGCTGGGGCGCTGCTCTGCACACTTCGGCTAACACCCACAACGCTTCATCAAGGTCCCAGTCGTCCTCGATAAGCTCCGTAGCTAAACCTTCGAGGTCTTGCAGACTCAAGCGCGCTACACGGGCAGACTCCTCCTCAACCGGTGACACAGGCCCTTCCGGGTGTGGAGCTTCTGCTGGCGGCGGCAAGGGAGGCGGCGGGTCAAGTGCAAAGACGTCGTCAAGTCTCACACCAGCAGACCGCTTGCCGCGAACCCTGCGTGGAGGTGGTGTGTGCTCCTCCTCAAGCGAGTCTCCTACAAACTGCAAGGGCGGTGGATCCGGAGAAACAAGGCGGGTGCGAATATGGAGTGTTTGCACAAAGCCGTTGCCAACACCATCGCTGCGCAACACGATGTGACCATCATTCACAGATGGTGACAACCCCATATACTTACCTTCAACCCATCTATCCTCCAAATCACCCTTCTTGCTGAAAAACTTTCGCTTCACGGAACACTTCCCTCCAAAATGGATGGCAAGCTTAGACTTCATGCCCAGCTGCTGCGCCCGTTGCTGAGCCGCAGCTGTCATGATTGCACAAGGCCACAAGGAAGAGTCAACCTCGCCAGAGGTGAGAAGGGTTCGTGCTCGTGCTTTGAGCCAGCGCACGGTG